ATGTCATCTCTAGTAGAGAAACAACTACTCAAAGCCCTCCTCTCATCCTTCTTACTAGTTTTACTCTTCTCCGATACCGCTATTTCGTCCCGACAAAGACTTGATCAGAAAAAACCCTGCAAACATTTTTCCTTCTACTACCATGACATCATGTACAATGGCGACAATGTTGCAAACGCAACCTCAGCCACTATCATGAACCCTCCGGGATACGGAAAATTCGATTTCGGTAAGTTTGTTATCTTTGATGACCCCATAACAATGGACAAGAACTACCTCTCCAAACCTGTGGCTCGCGCACAAGGCTTTTACTTCTATGACATGAAGTCGGACTACAATGCTTGGTTTTGCTACACGTTGGTGTTTAACTCGACGGAATACAAAGGRACATTGAACATAATGGGWGCGGATWTGATGATGGAGCCGACAAGAGATCTATCGGTCGTTGGTGGGACCGGTGACTTCTTCATGGCTCGTGGGATTGCAACTTTCGCGACGGATGCAAATCAAGTGAAGTATTTCCGCKTGAAGATGGATATTAAACTCTATGAATGTTACTAACTAATTCTACGTGTTTTGTTTGAAAATTGTGTGTAGAGATAACGTGTTACTAATAAGGAAGTGCTTTTAATTATAAAAAAATAAGGAAGTGCTTTGGTTCTGTTATTCTGAATTATTATGTTGGGATGTAACACAAAAAGCTTGGCTGTGCTCTTGTATTTTTTATTTGTTTTGTGTGTGCGGATTTTGTATGGCTTTCTTTTACTTTTGATTGAAAATTCATGTTTTCCCAATTGTTAGAAGCCATAATGAAAATAAAAATAATTTTATCTCCAATAAATTATTGCATGTATCATTTTTTCGAACACCATGTGATGAGAAAGAATAAATGATCAAAATAAGAATAAAGTTTACTCTCTTTGTAGGATTCCTCTGGAAGTTCTATGTTTATATTTCTCCAAGGCTGATCTGGACAAGAGAAAGGCGGAGAAAGAGTGGATGGAAAGAGAAAAATGGAGAAACTAAAAGCGATATGAAGAATGTTCAAGGAGAGGCTATAGTATTAATCACTCCTCTAAAATATAGAGATGCAATAAACATAAACAGACTTTATCAAGTCGATTTAACTGGTTTTATTTGTGTCCTTGCCAATTGTGTTGGTAAACCAAAGAACTGAGTCTCTTTGTGAGAATATGGTCGCCACATGAGTGATGTGTGTGCATAAAATCTAAAAAGGAAATAAAGGTATTGAATATTCTTAACTTTCTAATTTATTATCTCTGACTTTATAGCGTTACTAGATTAGGACCCGCGTTGATACGCAGATAACACATTAAAATTTATTAACACAAAATTTAAGTTTTAATTAGTACCCCGTTGTTCGCCCTAACGTATCCTCTCAGGCACATTCCCCGGCGTAGCCGCATAACCAGAGATGAGCTTCGTTCTCCGGTGTGTCTCCGGCGAAAGTGAGCTTTCCTCCTCCTGAGTTGAACTGATCTATCAGTGTCTTCTCCGGACGAAATCTTCTCCTCACCCTCCATTGACAACGAGATATGAGTTTGCTGTGATGTTTGTCTCCCCGCCTTCCCCCTCTGCAACGACGAATCAAACACCTCTGCTCGACCTCGCTTACCGGTGGGGGTAGTTACCGCTGAGCCCGTCGATGCCACTGGACCTTCCGGATCCGTCGGATCTCTTGCATCTTGGCACAAATTCTCCTCATCTGCTTCTGTGTTATCATCAGTGGTCGATCCTCACTGTTATCTCCCCCCCATTCCCAGTCGGCGGCTTCATATCTTGCTTCGTCAACTGCTACACCTAATCCTCGTTGAGATCTCAGTGGTTTTGTCGCGTTGATGCATCCCCGACCACTCACCGTGGCTCACCCGCCTGACCGTGGATCCTCTATGGGCTTGGCCCAAAACCTCAATAATCTTCTATGGCCTGGCCCAATATGGTATGTATACTTTTTAGTCCATCAAGGCCTTTTTATGCAAGTACATCTGCTAACTCTAAGCCGAGTGCCGATGATAGTATTCCCTGCGTTTCTACTGCCACTTTATCCTCTGCATTTCGGATGGGAAATTTGTCACGGATTTTAGGTGGACGACTATTTTACCAAACTCTTCTCTAGTGGAAGGATATAACTCAATTTTCTCTCCTCTTGGGGAGAATTGTACCGTCTTTCTTGTTGATTTAGGCAAGTTGTTACAGAGCTCGTTAAAATTTCTGTCCTCCAAATCGAGCCTGGAGAGACCAATTCGCCTTCACTGGGCTTCATTCCATCAATTGTCGAGATTCATATCTCCACGTATGAGAGGGTCAAAGTTTTCTGGATTTTCAAATCTGGTAATTTGCGAACTCCATATCTTCTATGTTGAGAGAAGATCAAAATTTTCTGGATTCTCAAATCCTGTAATTTACTCCCGGGGGAAGAGTTTAATTCCATATTCTTCCATCTCTTTGAGATTGGTCGTATCTTCTTCCCTCTCTTGGAGAGTGGTCGAATCCCCGAGCTCTATGCCGAGATCTTCAAAGTCACATTGGAAAGTGACCAATCTGAGACTCTTCGGCTTTGCCGCGAAGACCCTCTTGTCGCATTTGAAGCATGCTTTGGATTCGCTTTCCATATTTTGCGATGATCTACATGCTCTCTGTTTTATTGCTTTTCAATTATGTTATAGCAATTTTGGAGGATGTTTAATTTCTTTCTTTTGTACTTGGATCGATTCAATGAATGAAAGAAGCTTGTTGACAAAAAAAAATAGTAACTCGTTAAATTACGAAAAATATTTATTCATGAGTCTTGAACTATTAAACTTTAAT